GGTGTATATTTTTCCCACGATTTCTCTCTCCTCTGTGTTTTCATCTCGGGCATGGTTTTTCCCTCCCGGTACTAACAATTCCTTGCTGTGGGGACTGTCCTGGGATTGCAGGATGTGTAGCAACATTCCTGGCCTCTACCCATGAGATGCCAGCAGCATGTCCCACCCCTAGTTTTAACAACCTTGCTGAAAGTCTGGGAGAGGGGACACAATCTGCCCCCACTTCTTCCACCTTTGAGACACACTAATTAGGGAATCTGCCTAAACATTTTCAGACAAAGTAAATTTTGGTAGGACTGATTTTTTTTCTCTCTTTTATCTCCAAGGCAAAAATATGGTGCATATGCCTCCAAATTGAACAGATTCTGACAATGGTGAAGGAAGAGGAATTTCTCCTCCCTGATGGCAGTATTCCTCTCAGAAATGGCCAGGGTGTGGCGAGGAGGAGGTTAGGACCATGTTTTATTTATCTGGACCTATGCCTCCAAAATAGCAATTGCATATTTCTTTCATTACATTTTGTGGGGAAACTGAAAGAATGCAGTGTTTTACAATTCAGATTAAAGCTACAAACACATCAAGCTGTCTGATTTTCTGGGAGTGAGAAGGGGGGAGGGGCTTTATTATGGCAGAGCTGCATACTAGCTTTTCAACATCAGAAAAACTTTACAGCATGAAAGAAAAATGTATATGTTGAGAAGGAACATGAATGCTAAAAACACATTGTTACTATAAATCCCGAATCTGAGACACAGCTCACAATGCGGTTGTACTAATAGTGCAATTTTAAACCTATTTAAGCTGGGAAATTTGTTATCAGGTGACTCATACATGTGGGGAAATCCAGTTCATTTGTGCCAAAGATGAAATAAAGTGATTAGGTATTTAAATGTTGAGATTCTTTTCAGTCTTTTCAGTGAATGAATTGCAGTAACCTTGGATGGGGAGAAGTGTAAGAGGGTAGTTACTCATCAAGTTAAAAAATGTTAAAAGGCTCTCTGGATTCAAATAATAAAACCTTATATCTATAACACATTTATATTTAAATAGCATAAGTACTTTTATTTATTTTTTGAAATATTCAAAAAGTTCAAGGAAAGTTAAGTAGAGTATCAAGAACTTTCTGTTCTTAACCATTTGCGAGTAAGTACAGATCTGATGCTCCATCATTCCCAGATGCTTTTTTTGTGTTATTTCCTATAAACAAGGACTCTCCTACAATCACAATTAAAATTAGAAAATTAACATTGATATATGACTGCTATGTAATCCTCAGACTCTACTCAAGTTCTGTCTACTTCAATAAAATGTTTTGTAGCAACAGGATCCACTTAGCATCACACCTTGTGTTCAGTATGTCTCTCTAGTCTCCCTCAGCCTGGAAGAAGCCTGGGAAAGTGGGCGTGGAGGAAGGCAGCTAGAACTTCAGCAGCCTTGATGGCACACTCATTCTCCCTTCATCCAGAAGTGGCTGGTCTCCTCCTCCCATCCAAGGCCAGTCCATCCTGCTGAGCTCCAGATCCTTTGGGAAGTCTCTTTTCTTTCCTCATTCATTATTAGATCACCCACTGTTATAAATACGACCATGTTCCTTTTAATTTTAAAAAGAAAGTAACCAATCAACCCTAACCAAGGCAACCCCCAATTCCTCCACCTCCAAATTCCAGCCACTCAATTGCGTTCTTGCCTTTAACAACAAAGTTCTGGAAGAACAACAGGGAAACCTCCCTGTTTCCCATTAATCTCTCAATTCACTGCATTCTTGCTTTGATTCTCCTAACTCTTCTGAAATCGATTTGTCTAAAGTTACCAATGACTATTTTGTTCACTTTAATCTCATTAGCAATTTTTAAAGACCCAGTCATTCAAATCCTATATAATAAAAGGCTAATATGCAAATCGACCGAACGGCAGAATGACTGGTTACTATGATGCGCACTGACAACTAGGGGGCAGACGCTTAACGCAGGAGCTGCCCCCTGGTGGTCAGTGCACTCCCACAGGGGGAGCACCATTCAGCCAGAAGCCGGGTTCACAGCAGTCGGACATCCCCCAAGGGCTCCTGTGCTGCAAGAGGGCGAAAGCCAGGCTGAGGGACCTCCTGAGTGCATGAATTTTGTGCACCAGGCCTCTGGTTAAAAAATAATGGTACTCATAGTATCTTAAATAATAAGGTGTCTAAAGTAGAATTAAGTTTCCTTCTATCTTCTTTCCCTTCATTGCTTCTTTTCTCTAAATAAAAATTCCACCACACCATACATATTATTCTCTAACTTGCTCTCAATAACAACATATCAAGTCTATACTTCCAAATCAATACATATAAGTCTATATAATTACAATGGAATTTCAGTTCTCAAACTTAATTCGATCTGGAAGGCTGTTTGAAAACCGAATCATTTTTTCCCATTAGAAATAATGTAAATTGAATTAATCCATTCCAAACCCCCAAATGATTCCGTTTTAACCTTTCTTATATACGGGTACATGTCTAATGTACTATTTAATCTATAAATAAACACTTTAAAAACAAAAAGTACATGACATTAAATGAAAATTTAACAAAAAGAATGTACAGTTAAAAATGAAAATTTAATAATGAGAAGCAACAAAAGCAAAAAGAAAAGAAAAGAAAAGAAAATATTCACAACACAATTTCCTGAGATGTTAACAATGTGAGGTTTAGCGGTAAACTGACTCATACTCATGCATTCTCTCCTTTGTTTGTCACCTGAGAGGCACGTGACTGATCATACAGGTATCAGCATGGAAGGGATGTCAGGTTGAGAAGTGAATTGCTCAAGATGAAACACGTTTGAGAATCGAGGTTTGACTGTATTTTTAAAAATATATTTTTATTGATTTCAGAGAGGGAGAGAGAGATAGAAACATCAATGATGAGAGAGAATCGTTGATCGGCTGCCTCCTGCACGCAACCTGGGCATGTGCCCTTGACTGGCATCAAACCTGGGATCCTTCAGTCTGCAGGCTGACGCTCTATCCACTGAGTCAAACCAGCTAGGGCTTGACTGTATTTTTAACAGCGGTATAGAATTCCACAATAAAGATATATCATTGTTCATTCAACTATTCCTGTTGAAGAGCATTCAGGTTCTTTTGATTAGGTTGAACCATACAAAATTGTCATATTTGCAGGCTTTTTTTGTTGTATTTATTTTTATTTTTTTAAGAGAGAGAGAGAGAGGTGGGGGGTGGGGGAGAGAGATTTGTTGCTCTACTTATTTATGTAGTTACTGGTTGATTCTTGTATGTGCCCTGATCAGGGATCGAACTCACAACCTTGGCGTATTGGAACAAGACTCTAGCCAACTGAACTACCCAGCCAGGGCTGTTGTGTTTATTTTCTATTACAAACAATATTATAATAAATATCCATATACACATATCTTTGTTAACTTTTGTTTTTTGTGGATAGGAAGCTGTGGGATTCTTGTTTAAAAGGAGTGTATGTTCTACTCATTGAAAGTAGATTGCCCTAACTGGTTTGGCTTAGTGGATAGAGCGTCGGCCTGTGGACTCAAGGGTCCCAGGTTCGATTCCGGTCAAAGGCATGTACCTTGGTTGCGGGCACATCCCCATGTAGGGGCTGTGCAGGAGGCAGCTGATCAATGCTTCTCTCTCATCCATGTTTCTCTCTGTCCCTCTCCCTTCCTCTCTGTAAAAAATCAATAAAATATTAAAAAAAAAAGAAAGTAGATTGCTTTCCTAAAATACTGGTATAATGTATGGTTGCATCAATGACCTTTTGGGAAGTTATGCCACATGCCCTTTTTTCAGTGCTTCTCTTAGTAGACTTCTCCAGAGTCCATTGGATATGTCATTACTGATCACACCTTCTCTTGTGCCACCACTGTAAACCAGTCTTCCACATGCCTCTTTTTGGTCTCTTTCCCTAGCTTATCTTCTGTTTTTCCCTAGATGCTTGTATACCACATGGCTCTTCCCTAGCTCATTTTTTCCTAGTCACACTACAAGCTCTGGTCTCCTGTTAGGTAAGTTTATGGTTTCAACTATAATCTCTATCTACCCTCAGCCCACCAGTGAGGTGGCCCAAAGGTGACTTCCCCTGAATTAGAATAGGGTTTCCCTTCCTGAAGACGTTTTCCTGTCATTGTCCAGAAAACTGCGGTAATTATTTTTCAAGCACACTATTCAATATTCTACAATATGTCCCTTGGGTTGTGTGGTGGCCAAGCTCCACAATCATCATTGATAGCTGTGTTTTCCATTTTCCCCCTGAGTTCAAACTTTCATATAACAAATTTCCAGCTGGGTGTTTTTATAGGCACTGCCAATATAAAAGAACCATTGTTTAACTATTATCATCATCACCCTCTCTTGAAATACTCCTTATGCATTTCTTAGTAAATGAGACTCCCATTCACTGGGGTCCATAATTCAGAAACTTCATTCTAGACTTCTCTCTCTCAATTCAAACCTAATAGGTCACCAAGTCCTGCTGCTGTGATTTCCTATTCCTGAAATCCATTATTTCTTTTCAGCCCCCAGTGCTGCTGTCCTGACCATCTTTTTCAGAGACTAAAAATAACTTCTCACTGGTCTTCCTACTTTTTCCTTTGCCTCCCTTCTATTATCCACACTGCTGCCAGAGAACTTTTTTAATATGCAAACCAAGGAGAAAAACCTTTAATGTCCACATTGTTAAGAGGCTAAAATCTAAACATCTTAGCACAACTTTAAACAGCTCTTTATTATCCAATACCTATTTAATGATCTTTACTCATTTCCTGACACTCTCTAAAATCAATCTATGCTTCAGCTATATGGGTCTACTTCCAAATCCCCAACATGCTGAGCGCTCTCTAACAATTCCATGCCTTTGCCATGCTATCCTTCTGCATGGAATTCCTAGCCAGTCTTGTTGCCCTGAAAAACTCTTACTTCACATCAAAACCTCAGTTTTAGGGTTATTTTCCTTCTGTAAATTCTTCAGGCATACTTAAACACTTTTTAAAAAAAAATTTTAAAAATTTTTCATTAAAAAGTTAAAAAAATTATATAAGTAATACATTATCCTTATACAAATGCTACTACAAAAAAGCAAAAGTTCCTCCATCCCACCTGATGTCTTCTGAGACTCTCATATGCACAACAAATCTACCCTCTCTGTGGGTCTTTAAGAAATATACATGCAGGACAATACCGTTCTGTACCGTGCTTTTTTTCCATTGAATAGTACATCATGAACCCCTTCTGGTTCAGGCTATACAGCTCCGAGTCGTTGGATGACTGGATGTCACTCACATTCAGTGTCCTGGGCATATTGTAACTTACTTTACCAACCCCTTTTATGATGGCACATTGGTTGACTTCTTGCTTAGCCATTTTAGGCAATGCTGAAATGAATGTCCTTTCATATATAATATAACTATCTTTTATATGTAAATGCAAATTATACATAATGTACATATTTCCTTGCACTTCCACAAGTATGTCTGTAGGCTTGATTCGTTGGTGAAAGATAACGCCCAGCCCTCTCACCTTTCTCTATTTGACAAATTTCTGACAGTTTTACTTGTTAACCAAAAAATGACTTCAGTTTCAAAATATGGTGAATACATTCAGCCTATCTACACACACACACACACACACACACACACACACACACACATAGTAGTATATCCATATGTATATTCAATGTAGTACATATTATTCAATATAACGTGGAACAGACACTGTGTGAGGACTTGGTGAACCTCAGGACTGAAAGGATTTCTTGGCCCGCTCGCCTGGAAAGTGCGGTGGTCCCCTGCAGACCTCTCACCTTCATTATTTCCAAAATGTCTTCTGGATTGTTCTCCTTAATGGTGACTAAATAGAACAGCCCTCTTGGCGAAAGGAGATCTGGAACCAGTGGAAAGAACCTGTCCATGACTTCGCGACCATTTCTGCCACCAGCCCAAGCTGCTTCTATTCCATGACTTCCTACCTCTTCAGGCGGAGTCACTACATATGGGGGATTAAACACCAGAAGATCAACCTTCTCCTTCAGTCTTGGTAGCAAGCCTTTGACCAAATCGGTAATTACGGGATGCACATGGACTCTGTTACAGCGTGCTGTCTCCAGGGTACAAGCTGCTGCTTTGGGGTTGATGTCAGTGCACATGTACAGGGCCTGGGAACCTATCATGGAGGCTAGGAGTGTGGATACCACTCCAGACCCCGATCCTACTTCCAGGCATAGCTCCACTCGCATGAGCTCGGCCGCTGCCGCCTCCAGAGCGTCCAGGAGCAGGAAGGTGTCTTCCGCGGGCTTGTGCACTTGAGTTCCTTGGTAGTATGGGTACACTCCTGCACTATAGAAATTTTAATTATTTGTTGTATTAATGTTTCCAAACTAGGTTGTAAGCCCTTGAGGGTAGGGACTATGATTAGTCTAATGTTTCATCCCCTGCATTTGGCACAGTGACTGGCATTGATTATTTACTAGGTAATTGAATGAATGCAAAAACAAATTAGTTAGGTAGTGAGAAGAATAGTATCTAGGCTTGGGTTTAAGCTTAAGCTATAGATTGGCACTTAAGTACCTTTAAAAAATTGTAAAAGAATATATAATACATTAAAGGAAACTTAAGAACAGGATAGTAAATATATTATTTCACCATCCTAATGCCTGTTTTAGTGCATTTACTTTCAGTCTTTGCTCAAATATGTGAGGTATAGATATATATTTATATATGTGTGAGATATATAACATGTGTGTTTATATTTATATTTTACATAGCTGTAATTAAAATGTACATGTATTTTTACATGCTTTTAAATTTAGCTAACTATAAACATTGATAACACTGTTGCATTGTACTCCAAAGTATTATTTTTCAGCATTGTATATCTCATTTCCTTACATAGGTTGATAGCCTAAAAAAACTTAGGCTGCCCTAACCAGTGTGGGTCAGTTGGTTGAGCGTTGTCCTGTGCACCAAAAGGTCTTCGGTTTGATTCCTGGTCAGGGCCCATACCCAGGTTGTGGGTTCGATCCCCAGTGGGGGTGTGTACAGAAGGCAACCGATCAATGTTTCTCTCTCACATCAATGTTTCTCTCTTTCTCTCCCCCCTTCCCCTTCCTCTAAGATCAATAAAAACATATTTTAAAAAATAAAAATCAGGTTTTGCTGGGTTTTCTATTATAAATAGGAAGAGAATAAGGTTTTGTGAAACATGAAATTGATACAGTTTTGAGGGATGTTTAAAAAAAAGAATACAAATTATCATACTTTTGCAAATAGGACAATGCGACCACTTTGTTAGGGTCCCTCCATGGAATCTGGAAGGGGCCTGGGAAAGTGAGAGGTCCTCCAGATTGTTTTATTGGCTTCACTGTTGACTATCTTCAATGATAAATAATTCTACAATAAACATTTTGAGCATGTAATTTTTGTCTTTCTTCTATTATTTCCCAAGAATCCAAGTTACTATGACACAATTCATCTTAAGGGGGTTGAGAAAGAAAGGAAATGGTTACATAGTGAACAGTTTATTTATACATTATTTAATTTAATCCCTCTTACAAGCCTGAAGAAGGCATTATCCCCATTTTACAGAGGAGAAAACTGAGGTGCAGTGCATTTATATATCATGCCCAAAGTTACACAGCTAGCAACTCGTAGGGTTGGATCCTCACTCATGCCTCCTTCCAAAGCTCATGCCTTCATCACTGACGTCATAGAGTCTCCACAGCCTCAGTTACTTTACAGTAATACACCTCCTAGGCTATTGCTGGAGGTCAGAATACCAAACTTGCAGCGTATTGACGTAGTTTTTGGAAGAAGAGAACAATGGTGGCTAGGCTTTCATAGGTAAAATTAGGATAAAGTGATGTGGGTGCTTCTGTCTTTCAGTCTTACAGATATGGATTGCAGCAGACATTTCTTGGAAGGAGGAGTGTGAAGTCAGAATACCTGTTTTGGGTCCTGCTATTCGGTATTTGAGTGGCCTTGGCGAAGTCATTGAACTCCTCAGGTTCTCCTTTCTCTCATTTTTGCAATAAGGATAGTAAGTAACAAAACCTGCCTCACCCCAGGGTAGTTGTAAGTGTCAGATACGATCATGTGTGTGTAAGCACTTGGTGAAATCCAATGTCCCTGAGTCACTAGTAACATTGCTGGAGAAGCTCCTCTTCCTCGCCCATGGGCCCCAGGCAAGGGCGTGTGACAGCTGGGCAGAGGGACCTGCTGGCTCCATGACAGCTGATTGAACTCCCGGCGCGCCCTCCTGGACTGAGCAGCCCCGCAATGCCAGGGGGTGTCTGGGTCGCTGCTCTTGAATGCCCCGTGCAGCGGCAGCAGCAGCAGAGGCTGCGCCAATAAGTCTGAGATTCTGGGGGATCCTCTCCTCCTCAAGCTGCGAACTGATCATCAAAACATTGTGTTATAATGATATAAACACGACTAGTAAAACCCCAAATACACTCGCGTCCAACTGTGTCCCTTTTGCTCTGTCTTAGGTGCTGACGCATTTATCTAGGCATTTTAGCTGCCAGTTTAGTAGAAATCTTTAGTTCTGGTCTGACTTAATTCTGGGGGAAGTCTGCAGTTCTGGGAAACCAGGAGGAAAATAAAAATCTCAGGTTGAGTTGTCGTTTGAACACCCTTCACCAGATCCACGTTTAAAGCTGGTGTAAGTAGCACTGGCTTCTATTTTTTCTTAAAAAAAAAATGCTTAAACCAATTTCCAACCCTGGAAGATTGAGCTCATCAGCCCCGTGTCGGGATCCGCGTGGCTCCCGGAGCGAGGACCTGCAGCTCTGCCTCCCCCGG